AATAGTTAGTTAATGTAATTAGTAAAATTGTAAACAAATATTTCCTTTCTTGTTCTATGACTCACAGTCAAGAAGATCTATGATTCTTAGATAGTCCATTCTAAATAAGTTGAATCAATGATAAAATAAACGAGTTCTTGCAATATGAATCATTAGCACAGGAATGCCGTTTGACAAACGATAATACGAAGATAACGTATTATTTGTTCCACGATTGGTCACTGAAATTGCAATATATTTTTAGTAATAAAGTGAATTATTATATTGATATAAAACTAAAATTATTAAATACGTTAACGTGCTAAGAGATTCATTCTTGTATATTTTGTTCGAAATCAGTTATGACTAAATATTTGCATTATCGAAAGAGGTACCAGTATCTAGTTCATATTGGCATTATTTGTACTGACCACATCTAAATGTTGACCCTTTTCTGATAATCAATGGAGCCGTTATTTTTGTAAGTGGATTAAGTCTGTTAGGAGCTAAAAAGTCTTATGTTTTTAATAATCGTTATTACATTGTGATATTTTTTCGATTTTCTAGTGTAAATTACAAAACCAAAATCGATTAATCTTCGCCTTTATTTTTAAATTCAATCAATCCTTAATCGAACACTAAGCCTCGGACTTACACCATTTTCAAAAATAACGGTTCAATTATTTACTGCAATATCAAATGACAGATTATCGTCTTACAAACGGATGCGTGTTGCATATTAAACTAGACCTGAAAATTCCATTTCTGGGCAATGGCCGGTAGACTGATAACTTTGTAGCCACTTTTTTCTCTAACTAAATGAGTCAGTGACCTTTTTATTTAATAGCAACTTATAACTTTTTTTTTTGCTGCTTGGATAAAATTATATATATGTATATATATTTAAATTCACATTTGATTAGGCTATAAAAAAGTAATTTAACAATATAAATATATGACAAAATTTAGTTAAATATACTGAAAATATTTCGGGAGGCGAAATACATTTAATGTATACATATGAACTTGGAAATATGTGAATTGTCAAAAAACTCATTCCACATGAATTTTTCCATTACAAGTTTATTATGTTTCTTTGAGTCTTCCTTAATTGATGTATTTTAATCATTTTCAAAAAGAAAAAAAGTGACCAATTGTTTATTTAATTGAAGTCTTCACCTTTTTTTTTTCTGTTGTTGAATCGACACATAGCGAGTTGTTATTTTCAGCTCTATATTAAACCATTATTTCGTACTGAGAGTAGAATTTTAAAAGCGTCCATTTTTTTCCTCTCTGTTAATTTTTACACATTTGAAACTCTGGGAAGTTTACTTAGATAGCATTCCATCGATTTACTTATTTTTTGCATCTATAATCTGTTAACTATTGCATGTTTTATATATTTCTCCGTGCTAATTTCATGCCATTTACATTTGTTACAAACNTCCATCACGAGTTGATTGTTTCTTAGAGTCTCCTGAATTGATGTTCTTTAATCATTTAATAATTTTCAAAAAGAAAAAAAGTGACCAATTGTTCATTTAATTGAAGTCTTCACTTTTTTTTTTTTTTTTTTTCTGTTNGTTGAATCGACACATCGCGAGTGGTTATTTTCAGCTCTATATTAAACCATTATTTCGTACTGAGAGTAGAATTTTAAAAGCGTCCATTTTTTTCCTCTCTGTTAATTTTTACACATTTGAAACTCTAGGAAGTTTGCTTAGATAGCATTCCATCGATTTACTTATTTTTTGCAGTAAATTCTGATTAACTATAATCTGTTAACTATTGCATGTTTTATATATTTCTCCGTGCTAATTTCATGCCATTTACATTTGTTACAAACATGTATTCTGAAGAATATTAACACATTTGTTAACTTTTGCACATTAAGTTTAAAATTTAACCATTTTTGCAATATTTTCATCAAACATTTTTTTAAAGGTTCATCAATAAACCTCCCTATCTTTATTTTATTTCCTGGTTACTTATCTTGCGTTTTTCATTTATTTTAAACTTAGTCTTTTTTTCTTCAAAATTGGTTGATTAAAGTTTCAAAAAAAATTTTATTTTTCGAAGTAAAATAAAGCCCTTGAAAAACCTAAATGAAACGCTTTCCAATTTCTGAGAGAGCAGCTGAAAATCAATAAAAGCGTAACCAGGAAAACTAGTTTTCTTACTATGACCTCAGCGCGTGTAGGAAAAGAACAATAAAAAACCCTCTACATTTTCTGGTTCTGATTGACCTCATTATAATCACTTGCATCCTGTATTTGACGTTAAATGCTTCGCATATTGTGTTCAGAATTTATATTTTACCGTGTTTTCGTTAAAATTAAATGTTAGAAAATATTAAATTAATTACAGAAAGTTATTCCCCTTGTGAAATGACAAAATCACCAGAGATGGGGAGGTTAGAATCCTTTCAGCATTCGATCCGCCATTTTAAATCCTAATATCTTACTTCTCTTATAAGTGATGTGTTCTTTTTTGTTAATTTAAGTGAAAATATATTTGTTTATTACAAATTCGTTATTAAATCGTCAGATCAGTTTATTTAAGTGGTAAATGATTTAATTTAATTAAAATTATGAGTCACGACTTTCGTAAAATTGATCAGAAGATGGCGCCAGTAGCTAAGTGAAAACTTTATTGAAGGAAGCCCTCCCCCCCTCCCTATCTTTCATTAAACTTAATAAATATTTGTTTTCAAACTGCTGCTATTTCATTATGAGCAAAAATGAACCACATCGACTAATGCTTTTGTCAAAAAGTTTAGATTTCTTTTGTGAGTTAAAGCTCAAATATGTATTTTAATAAATTCTTGATTGCTATTCAAACAAAAATATCTTATAGAACTTCATACTTTCTAGAAGTTAAATATTAATTGTAGGGTCTTTTTTTTTTCTTTCTTCATAACAATCGAAGTTTTTTTTAATTGTTTGTTTATTTATAGTCAAAATTTTTTTTAAATTTAAAATAAGTAAATTTATTCTTAATTTAAATAAAAACAAGTTTAATCCAAATGAAAAAAAATTTCTAAAATATCTTCATGTTTTAATTTAAATAAAAAAGATTAAGCATTATTTAAGTTAAAATTTTGAGGTTCTTTGTTAAGTGTGTTACATAACTTTGTTGATTCTTAAAATACAATTATTCTTAACAGAAACAATAAAAGATACATTAAGTACTGAAGTGATTGAGTGATATTTGTTATCAAATTGTAACTTGAAAGTTTTATTTTTTTTTTTTCTTCTTTCTCACATGTGTTTTAAGCCTGTAGTCATATCTTAAATATTTCTTTATTATTTTTTGTGAAATATAAAATATATTTTATAAATAGTATGAGATTAATTTTCTTACAGTTAGTTTGCAATATCTTTTTATTGCAGTATTTTAGTTAATTTATTTTTTGCATAATTAATTCTTTTAGCAAAGCTGAACATCGTTCATTTCAAATTTTAGAGTACTGAATATGTTTTCATTTATACTTGCATAAAATGAAAGTTTAGTACATAATTACTCAAGATTAATGAAGATAAATAAATTTAAATAAAACTATTCTTGAAATAGAACTCACCATTTTTTTACATTTTTTTTGTCCTGCAAATTAGTAAATTTTTATCAGTTTAAAATCAAAGGATTTATTCAATGCTCTTCGCCTATATTAAGTACAACACTGATATTAAAATAGACTTCGTAATAGCTGGATTATGAATTTAAAAGTTATCATTATAATGAAAAAAACATGACTAGTACTTTATATAATTCATTTGGTCTTTAACTCAATGAGGAATAATATTTAGAAATCTGTTTTAAAACAATTTAATTTAAAATTTTTACAACACAAGTGACTATTTTAATTCATAAAATCTCTCCAGCTGACTTTTTAAAAGTCGATGAAAGAAAATCAAATATCTCTAACTTTGACATAGTTAATTTCCTAGAAAAAAAATAATTATCTCTACAATAGATATAAATTCTAGCTAAGTGTGATCAATGAGTTAGTTATATTAAAGTTTTATAGAGTGACTCGTGTAAAGTTTTGTTTTTTAATTTTTGGATTAGCTTTTACTACTGAAATATGAGTTAAATATGACTCAGTTTCTTTGTCTTCTGAGTTAGAAATCAGTATTTGCAAAGACGAACTTGTCGTTTTTCTTTGATAATGAAATTGGATGTTATCAATGAATAAGTAACTCTTAAGTTTATAATTTATGGCAGAATATATATATGTGACAATAAGTAAAGCACATTCTAAAATAAAAATTTCTGCTGACTATTTTGTTAAGGAGTGTGACTTCTATTACTTAATAATATAATAATTCTATAATTTTTTTTACTGTGACATTTATTAAATTATTTACATTTAGTTAATTTGAGTTGAAAATTTTAAGTGTATTTATTTCTCATCTGTTGCAAAAGCATGGTTTTATTTATTACGGTATTTAATTTCTAAGGTACTTATCAGTTGCAATGAACCTGTTTTAATATGCTTTTTGGAGTTATTTGGTTCCTTTAGCTAAAAAGTTTTTTTTTTTAAATTAATAAAAATAATCACTTTATAACGATGTACTGCAATATTTTCTAATTTAAGTAATTTGCGTTATTCTTATATTGGTCAACAGTTTCTTTCCTAAATCAAATTTATCAACATTTATTGTATTGTCATTTTCAATTATCTATTTGAATAATATTTGTAATACTTTCTTGAATGGCACGTTGTCAAAAAAATGATTGCAAAAATAAAGCATTCAATATAAGATTACAATATTATTTTTTAAACTTGACATTGTTTAAGTTGATTCACATATACAATTCGCACATATAATTCTATGGGAATTCATTCTTTTCTGAGAGGCTAATTTAAACTTATAATATTAATTAGTTAGGTTTTTCTTAATTATTTCAAAATATTACCTTGGTGGAAGTATTTGACAATTACTTTATATTAATTTCAGAATTTTTTTTAAATGTTCGCTATTTTCAGTTACATAATAAGTTAACTATTATAATTACAGTGATGATGAAGATGATTCATCCCAGAGCAGTGAGAGTGATGTTGATTTGGAAGAAGGAGAAATATTGGACTCTGGGGCTGAACAAGAAGAAGAAAAAGATTTTACTAACAGTATGACATTTATTATTATTTATAACTGCATACTCATTCTGTGTTATAAAATATTAAAAAAAAGTGAATATAAAATAAATCAGTAACAATACTACCCAATCATGTTACCCATATATGCTTCCCATATGTAAAAACCCATATGTTTATATATGTATAGACCCATTTTTAATAATACTTCTCATGTGAGCCGCGATGGCTCAGGGGATAGAGCGATTCGCCTTCCAACGAACTTGGTTCGAATTCCAGTTGATACAAATTACGCATCCGACTTGCACCGACCACAGTACTGACGTGAAATATCCTCAGTGGTAGGCGGATCATGGGTTAGAGTCCCCTTGCCGTCAGTCTAACCGTGGGAGGTTCTTGTGGTCATCCTCTCCAAGTAACGCAAATGCAGGTGAGTTCCATCAAAAAGTCCTCCATGAAGGCAAATTTCTCCCAATACTTGATCCAGGAGTTCCCTTGTCTCCTGGNGTTAGGTTTTTCTTAATTATTTCAAAATATTACCTTGGTGGAAGTATTTGACAATTACTTTATATTAATTTCAGAATTTTTTTTAAATGTTCGCTATTTTCAGTTACATAATAAGTTTACTATTATAATTACAGTGATGATGAAGATGATTCATCCCAGAGCAGTGAGAGTGATGTTGATTTGGAAGAAGGAGAAATATTGGACTCTGGGGCTGAACAAGAAGAAGAAAAAGATTTTACTAACAGTATGACATTTATTATTATTTATAACTGCATACTCATTCTGTGTTATAAAATATAAAAAAAAGTGAATATAAAATAAATCAGTAACAATACTACCCAATCATGTTACCCATATATGCTTCCCATATGTTTATATATGTATAGACCCATTTTTAATAATACTTCTCATGTGAGCCGCGATGGCTCAGGGGATAGAGCGTTCGCCTTCCAACGAACCTGGTTCGAATTCCAGTTTATATGAATTACGCATCGGACTTGCACCGACCACGGTACTGACATGAAATATCCTCAGTGGTAGGCGGATCATGGCTTAGAGTCCCCTTGCGGTCAGTCTAACCGTGGGAGGTTCTTGTGTTCATCCTCTCCAAATAACGCAAATGCAGGTGAGTTCCATCAAAAAGTCCTCCATGAAGGCAAATTTCTCCCAATACTTGATCCAGGAATTCCCTTGTCTCCTGGATTGGGTTCGAAATTACAAGGCTATAGAGTTGGAACATTAATAGTCGTAAACCCAAAATTTGAGTCAGCTGTTCAACGACGGTTATAAAATGAAATAAAATACTACTCATGTGTCATGTACTAACACAATTTAAAAAACCACAATCATTCTCTCTTTTATATTATTATTTGTTATACTTTAGAATGACTTTATTAAATAGAACAAAACAGTTTTTTAGCAGTTCCAACTCCCCAAAATAAATATTAACTGTATTCAGTATTATTCGACCAGACAACTGAGAAAAATGTAGATTCACCAAATTTGAACAGAATTTTCCTAAGGAATCTGCATACTTAACTTCATTATATTTTTGTCTGTATTTGGTTTATAGAAATACCTTTTGAAGATTAATGTAACTCCAATCAAAACAAAAACACATTTTTCAACAGAAGTGCTTAATTTTTCCTTTCCAAAAATTAGATTTTTTTTCTTTGCCATGTTGATTTGCGTCACGTATTGTACAAAAGCATGGTTTTGATCTTTTTCATTCACAGTTATTACTCCCACAAATTTTGTGCTTCAGTAATGACTCTTATTCCGTCATGAATCCACATTGTTTTTGTGGTAATTTTCCTCAGTTGTTAAAGTTTTTTTTTATCACTGTTATAACAGTTATTTCTAATTTCTTGGCAGTTATTTTAATTATTCATCGTACAGTACAGAACCGGTTATCCGGAAAACCAAAAAACCGGAACGAAATTCAATAAATTTTCCCGCCATTTTTTAAAAAAAAAAATTTTTTTTTTTTTTCCCTCTTAAGATTTTAGGATTTTTCCTTCTTTTTTGAAAGATGTTTACCTTTCCATCATTTTGGAAATAATCATTACTGTATTACTTCATCGTTTTTAAAATTATTTCCAAATATTTTTTTTTTTTAGTTGGGTTTAACAATAAAAAAAAAAACGGCTTTTTGTAGCGATTCAGAAAACCTGAAAAATCAGTTATCCGGATAGCGATGGTCCCGATCGTTCTGGATAATCGGTTCCCTACTGTATTATCAGCCATTTCCACCTAGTTTTTAAAATTTTAATATTTTATATACAATAGTAATGTGACACGTAAAATTTTTAAAATGCGAATCACTAATTATTTCATAATTCTTACGTTTGCCCAGACATATTTTGTTGTAAAACTACTGAAAGTTTTATGATCATTACTGACAACTCTGATGACCAGAGGTTGGAGTCTCCGCATTTATAGCATATAGGTTTGAAATGATCTTGTTTTTGACTTAACATGTCTAAAACTTTCTCTGTCAGAAATATTGAAGGGAACTTTTAATTACTTATCGCCATACCCCAGTCAATCATGTAATTAATTGATTTCTTATAGGTTCCTTGAAGGATGCTCTTGATGAAAGCTGTTTGCAAAATATTGAACAGTTAATCAATCAGGCTAAAAATGTGGAAGGGCCGGTCAATCCTCCCACTAATCATACTAAAAGTATCAGTCCTCATAAAATGGCAAGTATTATTTTTTATTGCAAAATTTTATTCCTTTTGTGTCCAAAAAGTATCCAAATTTTGTTTGGAAATAATAAATTTTATGATTGAAGTTTAAAGCATTGATTATAAAGCATTAAAGTGATTTTTAATATCATTTGAAAACGAGTATCTTTTTTTTAAATATTTTATTAACTTTCAAGTATTTGTAGAAAAAAGTTGCCTATAGTTTTATACAATTTCCAGCTTTTTGCAGTTGTAGAAATTTTAAACTTTATCAGTCTGATACAAGTATTTATGATAGACAAGAAGATTAATGTTTGTTTATGAGGAATTTTATTTATTTTTTTTCCTATTTGGAGCTTAATAATAGAGATCAACTTTGAGAGTTCACTTATTAATACTGTTTGTTGACCTTGTTTCTGAGATTTCGGAATAATAAATTCTTGAAAAAGTTATGATCATTTAAAGTGTAATGAATGTAAATAATAAACCAAAGAAAAAAACTATAATATAAAGAATATACAAATTTTTTAATTTATAATATGTATAGTATCATATTTGTAATATCCCTTTAATACCTTTGATCGAATAACGTAAATCGACAATTATTTTTTATTCTTTTAATTATTAGTTGGAAATAACTTTCTTTTTTTCTTTTTCAGAAAAGACAAGGTAATTTTATAGATCATGATCGAACTGAAAACAATCCAGACCAAAATGAAAGCTGGTTTGTTAAATCTCCTAAACATAAAAAATCAGACAGCAAACCCATAGACTACAGAAATGAACTTGAAGCTTATAGGGGTACGCCACCTAGTTCCCCTGATCGAAAAAAACGGTAAGAATTGAATATTGACAGTGTTTTTTCATCATGAAATTCATGCTTGATAAGAAAAGTGGGCTACAACCATGCTGTAATGTTGCATTTTTTCTTCATTATTTAAAAAAAAAAGCTTTATTTTAACTATATTTGACTAATTTTTAAACCATATTTGACTAATATGATATTTTCAGCAAACTTAATTTAAATCTAAAATTTTAGATTTTTTTTCTTTAATGGATTTAAAGAACAAAATAGTTAAAATCTTAGCGAAGAAAGCTTATTAAATGTGCTAAATGTTGCAATACTTCTTTTAAATAAAGAATGAAATGAAACTTTTATAAAACATTAGGTTCGACATCTGTATAACATTTTATTTAAATCTAACTTATTAAGAATCGAGTATGGAAGAAACTTGCATGTTAAATGTTCATAGTTTTTTAGATTTTGAAGAATTAAGCTTTTTTATAAATCGAGAAGAATGAAATTCAATTTTTCAAACTTAGGGTAGCTGTTTCTGTTATATGTTATAGCAAATTTTTTATTCAAGATAATTATGTGTAACTTTTCAAATCTGATCATTCGATTTAAAAATTTCTAACTTGTCGATACCTTTTGAAATAAATATAAAAAATCCTGTAATAATTTAATACTAGCTTTTCATTTAGATATTAATTCATTATTGAAATAGAAGTGTGACTTACGAAGAACTTAATTATTTTTTTTTTAAAATTAACCAAAAAAATTTAATGTTAATATATTAAAATTTAGTATCATTTAAAAACATTTTAAAGTCTAATATTATTTCAGTCTTGTTCAATTTAAATATCTTTCCTAAAATCTAAATTTTTTTCAATTTAATTTACAAATATTCCAAACCTTCTAAAATACTATATTTTGATTTCATTTTCATCATTTGTTAAATGCAATTACTGATCTGTTTCTTGAAAAATTTAATTTGTGACTAGTTTATAGGCAAAATTTCGACATTCCTGATTATGTTTCAGTAAATGAAATTTTATTCCAACATATTTTTTTTATTATTGTTCACAGGGATGATAAAAGACGCAAAAGATCAAAGTCATCCAAAAAGTCTAAGAAGTCCAGTCGAAAAGCTATTACAAGAAAAGATGCAAAAGGCCATAGAGTGATGAGATATAGAAAAGATGCAGCTAGAGGAAAACCTTGTAAATACTTTAAAGAGGGAAAATGTGCAAAAGTAATTACTTCTATTTTCTTATCGTTTCATTTTTCAGAAACAATAAAATCTTTCCTGTAATGTGAGAAGCTTGGAATAAGATAAATTAATTCTGGTGTAACATGAGCTATAGGGCAAAATTAGAAAATTTTGTTAAGTTACATTTGAAATAGTGACTGCTTAATTAAAAATTCTAAATTATTATTTATTAATAAGAAACATTTCTTAAAATTTAATAAACACTTAAGGATTCATTTTTTGAAAAGAAAAATTTTTCTGACCTTTCCAACTAAATTGATGTAAAATTTTAAGTATTTTATACGTTATCAACTAACAAAATTGTGGATTAACAAACATTAAATTTATTCATTACAAAATAAATTTGAAATTTAATCATATTAAGGAAATTATGCTAATTATATTACTTTTTTGCTGTAAATTTTAAATTATTATAAAATTTAACAACTCTGTTGAATCCCTTAAAATAACTTGAATGTTCTTGTTTAATTGGGGATGATGTGCCGATCAAGTAGAAAGTAACTAATAAATTCTTAATCATCAATGGCTGTAAAAAATTTTAACATAAATACTGCTATGGTGGCATGTGTGATTTAATGACTACTAGAAAGATTTAAACATTTTTCTAAATTCAATTCATAACTTTTAACTCTTGAAAATAGTTAAAAGTGAAATCTAAGTACTGTGTACAGGCTATGGCTAAACTGTGAAAAAAATTAATATACTGCTTAAAACTAATTAAGATGTTAGGATTGGAAGAGAGATTAAGGAATTAGAATATTTAAATGCAGTTGTGCTGTGTATTTGGCTTGGTTACCATTAAAGTTATACTATATTGTTGTTGTAAATAATTTTGAAATGTAATCAGGCTTGTTGCCAAAGGCCGATAGCAAAACGTTTTTATTTTAAAAGTTATTCTAGAAATTGTTTGTAAGCATAATATTTAGTTAGCATATGGAACTAAAATTTCTCTAAATTTGTTTCTAATGAGTGTTTTATTTTTAGGGAGCTGATTGTCCATTTTCTCACAATGTACCAGAGAGATACAAGAAGAAGGAACTGTGTAAATTTTATCTTAGTGGACACTGTAACAAAGGATCACATTGTGTATACATGCATGATATCCTTTTCAGAGATACTTACTATTATACATTATTTTGTTTTAAAATGTTTATTTTTAGATCCTCAATCGCTTACCTAATTTACTTGAGTTCATTATTTTTTAATTATTTATTAGATATTTCTCTTGACTTTATTTAATAAATGGGAAACAAAAAAGTAGTTACTTAGTTGATAGTATATTTCGTACTCAATTAATAACAAGGGATATTGCTTTGGTCTAACAGCATATATTTTGAAGGGGAAAAAAAGGCAAAGGCAAACCTAAATTTTCGAAAAATAATAATAAATTGAGAAATAATTTCAATAGCAAAAATATTCAGGTGAATAAGGTTACGATAATTAAGGTCCTTCTGTATTACCTCAGATCAGTGATTTTCAGTATACTAATTATTTTCCTTTCTTTCTGTATTTATTATTATTATTTTTACTATCATTTTCCGATGTTTTTAATATTTTTAAGTTTGTTGAAAAATAATCATATTATCAATAACTTTATATTGCACTTTTTTTCAAAAAAGTATAAAAACTAATTAAATAAAACATTAAAGCCATAGAATAATATAATTGAAATCAGTTACTTGCAATTTAGATTTTTCAACGTGGATAATTAAGGAATTATTTACTAATTTATTTAAGTTTTGGTCATTTGGCTTGGTTAAAATTAAAAGATAAAATTGTTTTAAATTTATATTAAAATTTAAAGTATTCAGCAAAGATAATCTTATCTATTATTAAAGCATTATATTAAAGGGGAACCATTTATAATTGTTAAGTAACCACACAGCTGATAATTATTTTTATCTACCACTTAACTAGATGTATAAAAATCAATCAAGTTAAACTCTAAATCAATCAAGTTAAACTCTAAATTAATCAAATTAAATTCTAAGTTCATCGTAAAATCATAATCGGTTGAGATAAGCAGATTTTTTAAAAGGAAATTTTAAAAATATATTATTCTAAGAACATTTACTTAAATGTTTCGTTAAGTTATAATTTTTCCCCGTTTGAATTTGATCAAGGATAATTTCAGCGAAAATGTAGCTAGCTGATAAAATTTACTTTCAACAAAAGTCCTTTCAATTTTGAAGTTTGAGTGCACTGCACTCTTTTAAGAAAATTATTTTATTTGTGTTGCCTCTTGTTATTTTGCATTATCATTCCTGTTAAATTTAATTAATACATAGCTATTATGATTTTGTAGTAATGTGTAAAATATTCTTCTAAATAATATAGTAGCTATAGATATGTTTTTTATCATGCTTTTTCCTTAATGCAAACTAAGAGAATTTCCCTGTAAATTTTACCACACTGGTTCTGTGTGCTATGCCAAAGAAGATTGCAGATTTTCACATGACCCTTTGACAGATGAAATGAAAAAAGTTTTAGCGGATGTAAGTATTATTTTAAGATTTGTGTGAAATATTTATAAATTATCATAATAAACATATATTTAAGTTTAAATTTTAAAAGTATTAAATTTGTTTTGATTAATGGATGACCCAGTGCAAATAATACAAAATTACTCTTGACGATTCGTATGCCAATTATGATTTCCAATTCCATTGCATTACTAACCATCTCTTTACTTTCATTGCTGGTCCTAGGGAGGACACTGACTATTATTTTATGGTTGTTCGACACACAAACCATTATTTAATTTGAGTCGCCCTAAAACTAGTCTGTAATTCATTCAATTTTCTGATTAAATATTTAAAAGAGTAGTTTTTTTTTGTGGTTCTGCTGTTAATGTAAGCTCTCACATTACCATGGGGCGTAGCATTTTTAAAAAGTGTTTATTTTCAATTTTTGTTATTTAAAAGCCCTTAAAGGTGCTTTTTTCATTGGGTGTTTTTATAAAGTGCTTAATTTCCCCTTTTCAAAAATAAGATTTTTTTCGTTACCATGTCAATTTTCGACACATGTTATGCAAAAGAGTGCTTTTCACCTTGTTCTATTCAACGTTTCCACAATTCATTTCGGCATACCGTCGGTTCATAGCGTATGAAAGCACCAATCATTTAACATGTCTGATGAAATAATTGTGAGTCCGTAAGTGCGTCTACTGAGCTGCATTCGGTGAGATTATTGCACTCTCGTGTGCAACTCTGCTGCATTTTGCAAGATATTCTCAATTTCAGACTTCATTTTCCACCCTACTGATTTCGAACCTAAAAATCTCCCGATCATTTTACGGCGGTTAATGTAATCAAGAAAAGAGTTCTTTGTCAGAAACTAGTTATTTTCTCATGATCATCCAAAGTCTTTGAAAATTATTTTGCATTTTGTTAATGTATATAGTGCTTAAAAATAATTTTTGAGTGCTTAAAAGATGCTTATTTTTTGTTGAAAGATTTGGCTACACCCATATGAATATTATTAACATGAAGTTGTTGTGTTTGCAGTACCTGAGGCATGTTCATGGAGATCGAGACCACCACAGGGATGATTTTATTAGAGAAGACGAGCGCGAGCGAGATCATGATAGGGGCATTGAGAGGGAGAGAAAACGACATCGTAGTCGCAGTCCAGAACCTCCAACTCCTCCATCTGAGGCTCCACCAGCACCAAAGCGAGTTTGTCTTTTAGGATCACCCCCTCGCAGAATCAGAGAATCTGAAGAAACAAAACGGTGGCAAGAAGAAATGAAAATGTTGCAACATCAAAATCACCCTAGTTTTGAAATAAGTTTAATGCAAGGTGACGAAGAAGATGAAGAAATGCCACCACAGTTTTCTAGGTAAGCTTGTTATCCATTGATTAAAAAATCTTAATTTTTAAATTATGAGTCCGAACTAAGCATAAAACTCATTTTTATATTATTTAGATCTGACACTTTTTTTTAATCTAAAATGAAGGTTGTGCCAGGAAGCTAATTTTTTAGTACTTCTCCTAAAGAATTAAAATTAATGTATTTAATTAAAACTTAATTTAACTATTTATTTTTCATGAATTTTGATTAAAATAATTTTTTATGATATGTTAGGTATTTCGAATAGTGAAGTGATTAGGGCGAATAACAACTTTAAATGAAAAAAAAAATTTCATTAATAAATATTTTTATAAAGAAATAAATTAAGTCATTTTTGTAAAATAATCAAAACTTGGTTGTATTATTTGTGGGGTGACCACTAAGGATGTTAAATAAATTACAGATCACTAAGGATTAATTAAAAATAATATTTTCTGGAAAAAATTATCCATGAAACATTAAAAGAGATTATGTCTATCAGAAACGCTTTTAAAAATTTATCATAACTTTTGAAAGAAAATTTTAAAGCTAAACATTTCAGTCTTTNGCCACGAAGCTAATTTTTAAATACTTCTCCTAAAGAATTTAAATTAATGTATTTAATTAAAACTTAATTTAATCATTTATTTTTCATGAATTTTGATTAAAAAAAATTTTTATGATGTGTTAGGTATTTCTAATAGTGAAGTAATGAATAGTGATTTGGCCGAATAACAACTTTCATAATGAAAAATCATTAATAAATATTTTTATAAAGAAAGAAGTTAAGTCATTTTTGTAAAATAATCAAAACTTGGTTGTATTATTTGTGGGGTGACCACTAAGGATGTTAAATAAATTACAGATCACTAAGGATTAATTAAAAATAATATTTTCTGGAAAAAATTATCCATGAAACATTAAAAGAGATTATGTCTATCAGAAACGCTTTTAAAAATTTATCATAACTTTTGAAAGAAAATTTTAAAGCTAAACATTTCAGTCTTTACCGTATTTTTAAGAAAAGAAGGAAGATTAAAGTATAATAGAAACCCCCTTAATTCTTGCATCATAATAAAAATGTCGGTAAAAAAGAGAAAGCTAGATAGAAACTAAAACAAAAACCTTCTTAATTTTTAAACGAAAGATTTAACGATAAAAATATTAATTTAACTTTTTCACATCGTCATGTTTTAAGAGAAAAAGTGACCATAAAGGAATTGCTTTCGTTAGAGGGAAAATATTGTCATAATATAAATGCTGATCCTCTTTAAAAAAATGTTGTCATAATATAAATGCTGATCCTCTTTAAAAAAATGTTGCCATAATATAAATGCTGATCCTCTTTAAAAAAATGTTGTCACAATATTAGTTCTAATAAAAAGAAAATCAAGAGAAACAGAAGAAAAAAAATTGGTTCTTAGTTCTAAAATATGACTTTAATGTTGAGAATTTCGGTTTTCTAAGTTGCTTGTTTTCTGTCTTACCATACAAGAAAAAAGTGTCAATTAAGTCTGTCAGAAACAATCCCTTAACATGATTCGCTTTAGTTAAAACGGAAAGACAAACAAAAATAAAACAAAAAAAGTACTTAATATTTAAAACATTAGGTGTTGAAAAAAACTATGAATTTGACTTGCCTAAATTATAAGTAAAAATCAGCATTACAATACTCCTTGTTTAGTATAAAGTAATCTTGTTTCAATTCTTCAAATTTCGCTTTTCCATGTGTCTTCCAGAACATTAATTAACAATTGTTAGAACTTAACTAATGTATGTGCAAAAACTATTTTTTATAATCTATTAAAATTTTACCCCCAAAAAAACTTTATTAATTTCTAATAAATTAAAATAAACCTCTTACTATAAAAGGTCTGTGCAAAATTGCAATTCTGTGAACCGAAATTTAGTAATTTGTTGGAATTTATTTCTGATGCAAGTATTTTGAAGCTTTTATATTGATCTGTTTCAAATGTATATTGCCCTGTTTAGTGAAGTTTAATACTAATGGGAAATGATCTATATCACACAAAATTCTATATAAAATTGAGCCTTACATTTCAAGATTAGCTTTCAAAATATCTACTGTATTTTTTAATTGGTTAGAATTCAGTCTATTGTGAAAACCGCTGAAACAATTATTTAACGATTTGATTATAAATTCCTTACATGCTCACTATTAATGTATTTTCAGACCAAACTTTTATCAAGAAACCTTGTTGAATTCTCCGCAAAAGCCGAAGATAAAACAAGAACATCCTGATCGATTGAGTCATCCTTCTGACTTCAATCAGCACCACCTATATGCATCCAGAAATATGAATGACAACTCTCCCCCTAAAAATTACAGTTATGAAGAAAACTTTGAAGATGTTGACGTTCCTGCTGTGAAGCAGGAACCATTGGATGATTTTGATTGGGAAGATTCTCGCTCAATGAACGATGTTAAACCAAAAATGAATTGTGATTTTGATGGTAAGTGTAAATCTTTAAATTCAGTAAGAGAATTTGATAATATTAATTTTTATCATGATAATGTTCTGTTTTTGAAAATGTTTTTTAAATTTTATTGATTTTATATTTATAAATTAAAAACTTTAAACGATAGGAAAAATAATTTTTATTACTGCACAGATCCTAATTGTGATATTTTTTGGAAAGTGATTAAAAATATTTTTTGAGTGCTGAAAAAGTACTTAAAAGGTGCTTATTTTTTATTGTAAATCTGGCTGCACACCGTAGTACAGTAGGGAACCGATTACCCGGAACGATCGGGACCATCGCTATTCCGGATAACTGATTTTTCCGGTTTTCTGAATCACTACAAAAAGCCGTTTTTTTTTTAATTGTTAAACCCAACTAAAAAAAATATTTGGTAATAATCTTAAAAAGAAGAAAAAACGATAATGTAATACTCTAATGATTATTTCTGAAATGATGGTAAGGTAAACATCTTTCAAAAAAGAAAGAAAAATCCTAAAATTTTATGAGGAAAAAAAAAATTTTTTTTTTTAAGTGGCGGGAAAATTTATCAAATTTTTTTCCGGTTTTCTGAATTCCGGATAACGGGTTCTGTACTGTATATATTTCTGACATACTTTTTTTCTTGCTCTAACTTAAAATTTTTTTTTTTTTCAATTTAAAATATATTTTACACATAGCATTATTGAATTGTTATTTTCTGGTTTTTTGCAAATCTCATTCCTGATGTATCTAAAAGCTTAAATTATTTTATTTTTTGCAGAAAATACTCATTCTGACTTAGATTTCTCAAATGATATAAAGTTTGACGAAACCACCCAGTTCAGTGAAATGGAATCTTCCGTCGATTGTCCTCCATTCCTTTCTCAATCTGCCTCATCTGTAATGGAAAACAAAGAAAGTGACAGCGAAGCTTCTAACCAAGATTCCAATAAGCATTTTAAAGAAAAAAGCGACGCGGGAACCGCCAATATTGCTGTCGAACCGCCTGCTCCGTCTATCGTCATACCCAGTCACTTGCCTCGGAAGCAGCGAGAGCTGTTTATGAGAGTCCAGCAGCACAATCAGCAGAAACAGTTCAATACTTCTGAAAGTACAGAATCTCAAATTAAGAAAGAGTGTGAGGATGATGATGATGAAGAAAAAGAGGATTCCAAACCTGATGAAACTAAGTGGTACAGCAGTGAAGATGATGATGAGGACTCTGATGAACTTTTGACTGATGTATTGAAGAAAATTCAACAAGCTGTAAGTAGAAAAATTATGTTGGTTTATGTTGATTTTCTGATCAGGCAATAAAAGTTTTGTGGGGATATAAATATCAACTATGTCAACCTTCATCTATCAAAAGGTACCTCATGATAGAATCCAGTTCACGTGCAGGGTTGAAAAAAATCCACCTACGCAGTAAAACCCACCCTAAAGTGGGTTTTTCTAAGATTGATTTCTTTTTTACCCTCTGTTATATTGAAGAGCTATTCTATTAAATATATATGTAGTCTAGCCTAAAAAAACTAACCTATGGTGAAAAAACTAACTATGTTGGAGACGCGTGAGTTACCTTGCTGGCTAGATTTGACTGTATGGCTATTGATTAGTCAGTGCCTTTGATTTGCTTTATATGCAAATAAAATATTTTCCTCAAATATTTTTTAAGATTTATACTTGCGAGTCCGCATGTGCGTCTACTGAGCTAGGTACGGTGAGGTTCTAGCACTCTCGTGTGCAACTCTGCTGCATTTTGCAAGATATTCTCCATTTCAGGCTTTTTCTTTCACCCTCTGAAATCGAACCGAGAAATCTTTCGATCTTTTTATGATGGCTAATGTAATCAAGAAAAGAGATCTTTGTCAGAAACTAGTTGTTTTGTCATCAGGGGTCTGTCTAGGTTTTTCTGAGAGGTACCTATTTTGTGAAAATGTTGACATAATTTGTGAACAATTAACAATTATATTGAAAAATCAACACAAAAATATGGATTTATCGTTTCTTAAGGGATAAAAAAATAAAATTTTAAGAAAATTTATTTTGTGAAACTACCGTTTTTCCTAAAGTTGAATTTGTGAAGGTACCGCTAAACGGTAGTAAATTCGGCCCATACAGACCCCTGGTCATGATCATGTCAAGTCTTTGAAAGTTATTTTGCCTTTAGTAAATGTATATAATAAAAAAAAAGTACTTTAAAGGTGCTTATTTTTTGTTAAGGGATTTGGCTATGCACCCTGATTTATGATTCAATTATTATTTAAGTCGGAGGGTACAAAGGGAACTGGTAGAGTCTATGCCAGTGATTTAAAGTAAGAAAGCGCTACAATTTGAAGTGATAGAGAGGCGGAGTATGAATATAAACAATTTATTTGGTGTATTGTAGAAGAAGAATAAATAAAGACTTATAACTTATTTAAGGAGCTTGCTACTCTTGTAAACCAAAGATATAGAATAATATTCCAGTTTTTAATTCTCCCCCCAAAAATATGCTCATGTTCCGGATATTTTAAATTTCTTCACCTATAGAAAGTGAACTCTTACGCTAAGCTTTTTCACTGCTCTCCCCCATCTTGTTGTTGTTGAATGATAACATATTTCACTCTTCTTAGAGATTTATATATTTTATTGTTCGTTAACGAGGAATTTTTATTCATTTTTATTTTGGAATCGATATAAACTTTTTAAATACGCAGCAGTTGCTGTCTTTAATATGTTAATTCTAAAATTATATGGAAAAAAAACCTAAGGAAAAAGTCCTTATAAATGCATGATTCAAATTAATTGAAAATGGAATAGAAATACATCATAATTTAATGTTTAGAAAGAAGCTGGAAAATAAATCTAAAAACTCATTTTGCATTTCATTTATTATTTTTTAACTTGTAAAATATCAAAATAAGTAGTATCCTTTTATATAGATATATATTACTTTTATTATAGATAAATATGTTTTTTTTCTTTTTTTGCTATAAATATTTCTGGACACGAGAAATGAATTTATATTTGCACTACTAAAATTGTGGTTTGCTAGGAATCAGTTGCTATTCAGTACTAATCTAATTTCGCTGTGTTAATGAGTTGATACAATTTAAAAATTTTTTCTCTTATTAGAATACCTTGGAAACAATTACAATGATGCCTTATTAATAAATAATTTTTAAAAAAACTTGTTGGTATAAATCAATGAACACTGTAAATAGATGTTCCATGTTGATAAATGTTAACCTGACAGCAAGCTTGCATGATTAACTAATTTTTTTAAAAAAAAACAGTAAGAATTTTTTTAAAAAAGCATTCCATAATTCCCTAATAAAGTAACAATGTTTAACTTATTGTTTAAAATTGTAATTTATACATTTTTTCTTCACAGCCACCTCCACCAAAGCCAGTTGAGTCCAAACCTGCTGTAAATTTGATGGCAATGCTCAACAAAATTCAACAAAACACTATGGAAAGAACTAAAACTACAACTGGATCACAACAACCCAATTTATTAGCACCATTTCTAAAAGACATATTAGGATCTGTTCCACCCCCTACTCAACCAGTTACAGTTCCACCAGCTCTTTCAATACCTGGAGCTCCTATGATACCAGATGTTAAGCGTCGTACTTTGTTGCCTAATCCTGTTGCAATTCCTTCTGACAGTTTTGGGTCGAAAGAAACTCTTCCTAAACCTGCTCCTATGGATCCTCGACTTAAAAACAGAGATCCACGAACTGCACCTGCTGTTCCAGTAACTTCAAATGCTCCTAAACCAGTTGTAAGTGATAATAATACTGGAAATAATTCTCCTTCGTTAGATCTAAACTCAGTGATTAAACCTCCTAATATGTTTCCAAATGAATTTCCTAAAGACAGTGTGCCCTACAAATTGCATGGCATCTATACCAGACCCCCTAATTATACACCTTATTTACATGCTAGTCAGTCAAACCCAAAGTTGCTGAACGATCCACGTCTTCGTAAACATCTCCAGCCTGCTCCAAAAATTGAAACTCCAATTAGCAATGGCAAAGAGGAAGAAATCAGTAAACCTCCACCACCACCACCAAAAAATGTTCCTCCAATGCCAGAACTTCTGTTAAAATATGAAAAGCCAGATTCTTTCATCAACATATTTGAAAGCAATCCTTCCACTAAGTCTTCAGGAAATACACAAGAAGTTAAACATCCGCTTCCTATGTCTGCCCAAAGAGCTTGTGATCCGAGAACTATCAGGAGAGACTCTCGTAGTAATTCTGGTTCCGATACGCCGCCCCATCTAACGATAGTAGAAACCATTAAATCACCCCCTCAGCAAGAATTTAAAACTGCACCAATCCTTGAAAATGCCCTTGTTGAACCTGTTGTGGAAAAGAAAATGGCGCAGCCGCCCGTTTTAGAAAAAAGCACTGCACCGCCTGTTCTTGAAAAAAGTGACAATGTATCTATTAAGTCTGAACCAGATTCCGACTCTGAAAACAGTTTCGACCCTCCGAAACTCGAGTTCAGCGGCAAAACTTCTTTTAAAAAGTCTCCATCACCTGAGAGAGAATTCATTGCTATTCCCAAAGAATCACCCTCCCATGATGGTGACGACCTCCCCATAGTTCCTCCCCTGATCATCAAAAAAATAAAACCCACTCCCGCAAGCCACTTGCCACGCGCTATAGCGGATCCGCGAATGGCAAAGCTTCACAACCCTGTCGATCCCCGGCGCCTCAGACTAGCTTCCTCCGAGAAGAGTTTAGTCGAGCGTAAGACGCAACCCCTCTCTAAGCTTGCTGCGAGCAAAAAACCAGTCGAGCCCAAAAGCTTGTCTGACGCTTCGAAATCTCCATCAGGTGAAACGGAGACTGTGGAAAAGGAGGAAAAACCCAAAAATGCCAGAAGTATCCCTAAAAAACGCAGACTTTCGGACAAAGGCGAAAAGAACGTGGCCGAGTCCAAAAACTCTTCAGATGCTTCGAGACTCGTTGAAACAGAGACTGCAGAAAACGAAGATAAACCAAAAAATGCTAAAACTATCCCCAAGAAACGTAGGCTTTCCGACAAAAGTGAAGAAAAAAAACGGACTGTTCATCGTAATAGAAAAAGTAGTATGGATTATGCCTCACCACTTAATTCTTGCGATGCTACAGTCCCACCAAATAATTCCTACAATAGTTACAATCAACGACCCAAACGGACTACTACTCTGAAATCTGATAGGATTTCCAATTCTCCCAACTTATCTTCCTCTGATAGTAGCTCAATTCCAAGTTTTCTTCTAAGTGATAGTTCCAATATTGATTGTGATAATAGCAGTGATGGAAATTTGAAAGATAGATTTAAAACAATAGATCCAACTGCATCACCTTTTTGTTAGTACTCTTTTTTTATAGTAACTATATGTGAAAAGCTTAGTTTGTACATAGCAAAAAGACAATTGTTGGAATGTTAGTTTCTTACTGTTATCTTTCTATTTTGAATATCTTTATTTTGCATTGAAAATTTATAGGTTTTCTAGCAACCTTCAGTGATATTGGACTAATTTTGACACAAAAGCAAATTTATAGTGAATTTGCATTAACATTTATAGAAAAATGAATTTAGTGTGTATATATTGTCACATTTTGCTCGTCTTACTTTGTGCATTTTGAAATTTATTTATTTTGTGCATCATAATTTTTTTTTAAAAAATTTATATATGTATTTATAAATATTGTTGTATAAAAGTTTTTTCTTCGACGAAATAATTCAAAGGAAATTATGACTTATGAAAAAGGGGGAAACTATAAATGTGTCTTGTGTTTCAAGTTTTTTTATATATATAAATTGTTCCAATATCTGTATGTTATTTATTTGAAAATTTATTTTTCATTTGTTATGAAAAGATTTCTATTAAATGTTCCTTTCCGACAACTATTAAATTTGATTGATTGTTCAAAAAATTCTTTAGGAAATAGTAAGACAGCTGTAGGAACGAAACTTTAGTAAAAAGGGAATTGAAATAAATATGTTGATTTCAAATGCAATTTCATAACATTTTTTAAAAAAATTTTCTTTGTTAAATTACTACTATAATACAATATTGGTGATTTAAATATTTTTAAGAAGTATACATACAGATTCTCCCTTCTATTTTGTAATTATCTTTTATTATAAATAGTTTATCAAAAATGGTAGATATCTTGCTTAAATTTCTTTAAGCATTTTCCTAGCAATGAGTTTTACGTATCTCAATTAAGCATTAGGAATTCAAGAGACACAAAAGTTGAAAAAACCCATTTTAATTGTTAAATTCTTCCGTGTAATAATTGGGGTATAAAACTTTTGTCGCACGACTCGAAAGAAAAATAATAATTGTATTATAAACCAGGGGTAATTGTATTCCGGGTTTTTCATATCATTCTTTCGGACCTAAAAATTAGAAACAGGGCATGTGATTTTTCCTCAAAAATTTCAGGTATCGCATTGTGTCTCGAGACCATTGGTTTACGGACCACTGAGAAGCAAAAACGTAATAGTCTGGCATAATTTTGAAACTTTTGCTATATCCTGTTAACGAGACATTTCAATACACGGGATTCTTCCACTAATTAGATTCATTTATTTGGCAGATTTTCGCCATTTTGAATGTTTGGAACTTCATCGGAATCTGCTAATATCACAAGGCTTATTCACACAATATTAATATCAATCATCGAATTTTGTATTTACCTGATTAAAAAGTTATACCTATTCATGTGATTTAATAATCCAATAGCCCGATTTATGTTTACGCAAGTTTAAATTGAATGTCACAATTTGTATTCACGCATTTTTAAGATCCAATATTGTGATTCATACTCAAGCTGTTGTAGTATTAAACATCGATTTTCATATTTATACGTAATTTAAAAGCTACGCATTGCGATTCGTATATAAAAATTAAGTTAAAAATGAAACATTTATGGCACATAAATTTTTAACTTGATATCAATATTTTGCACATGAAATTTTTAGTTTTTTTCACTTTTGTGTCACAACCACCTCTGATAAACATAATTATATGCTTTCGTGTTACAATTAATGCACATTTTTGAAAACATTAAAATAGTGATGCATTTTTGCAAATTTATTTTTATAAATATCAAGTTTTGCTTGTTTAAAAAATATTAATTCAAAAACTTGTATTGTAAATATAAAAATTAAATGCTTCATTTTTAAGCTATTGGTAAAAAGTGTAGTCAATAGGAAAAAAAAAAGATCTAAATCTGATGAATCATTGAGGTCAATCACTACAAAGGTCAAGTTATTAAAATTCATCAAATCCAATGTATTTGACAGATGAAACATTTGATAACAACCTCAACTATGATTAACCTAGAATTAATGTATCAGACATGAAAACCTTTTTTCTTCCTATGCAAGTTTGTAATCCTAAAATTGATTATTACGCAAAAATCAATACAATCACAAAAAAGATTGATAAACCTTTCTTTGTATCTATGAATGTATAAATATTACCCAAAATTTTGCTATTAAAAATCATACTTATTATGTTGAATGATACTTTTATTAAGTGATAGCTGTAAAATGCAGGATATGCACAACAGTTAATATATTGTACTATATTTAATTAATTATAGTATTTCTTATCTATTTAATAATTGAACAGGCTCTCCATTTTTCTTTGTGCTGGATGAAATAAAATTATTTTATGAGCACTGATTCGATAAAGGGAGCTTTCTATAATTTGATGGATATATCTTAATTTTGGTATAATGTAAATGACTGAGCTAATTTATTCTAAATAAGGATTATGAAAAAAAAATTCAGTACTATGACCTGCAATATTAATTGGTGTCTTGAGATTAAGTTTTTGCAAATGAATTTATATTTCATTCTATTTTTGATATGCTTAGCATAATTGAAGAGCTTACTGGAAGACGAACATTTAGTAAATCTACAAGTGGTATATAAATTCACTATATGTTATTCGTGACATTTTATAGAAACGTCAAAAAGCCGTTTCCAAAACAAGACTTTCTTACACTAAGCTCTTAAATTGTTTTACGATAGTTTATCCAGATGTTTTCTGGAATGTTCTATATAAAATTTTCATGTTCCAATCAGTACAAAAATTTTAAACAAATAACATTTTATATTTGAACTGTTATTATAACAGGGTGTGTAGCATTTTTAAAAAGTGTTTATTTTTGATTTGCGTTTTTTCAAAGCCCTTAAAGGTGCTTTTTTTTTTTTTATTCGGGATTTGTAAAAAGCGCTTAATTTTCTATCTTTAAAAAGGAGATTTTTTCTCTGCAATATTTATCAGAAACTAGTTATTTTAGCATGATCATGTAAAGTTTTTGAAAAAATTTTTATGATTATAAATTAAGAACATTATACGATAAAAAAATTTGTTACTGCACAGTTCCTAATTATGATTTTTTTTCCCTTAGAAAGAGATTAAGAATATTTTTTAAGTGCTTAAAAAAGGAATTTTTTTTTTTTTTCTAAATCTGGCTACGCACCTGTAAAAATGTCACTTTAGCATCTTGTTTTGTAAAATACTATTAAGTTAATGATAGAAAGTTACACATTTAGCACTTTTCTGTCTGGGAGCAGGTGGGGAAAATAGTAACTCCTGCAATACAATAATATGCAGTTAAAAAAGTTATGCCGCCTCAATTAGACTGCAATTGTAGATCCTAATAACTATTCTCTTCGTCATAGCATCCATCTTAATCTGTCGCTGCCTATTACTTTATAATGCTTTTTGTTAAAATTTATTACTTGGCTTTAAAAACCTTTTTTTATAATTATGTGCACTTTTATGACTTAGTACCTCAATGTTCTGAACACATAGCTGCCAACTCATTTGTCAGTTTCACCCGGATTAATCAGAAAAGTTTCCTGTATTTTGAATATTATAAATAATTCCTTGTAGTTAGGGGTGTTTATTTTACTACTCAGATTATTGTCTGTTAAATGATGGATTCATTATAGTAATTACCTTAAAGCTTTGCTTTTTGAAATATTCTAAAAATTTCAGGACTCAATTTCTTAAATAAATTTGAAATGAAATTCAATATCAGAATCAGAAATTCAATATCAGAATTCAGAAATATAATAAAAATAGCTAAAACCTATATTTTATTTATATCATAAAAGAGAAATATTGTTGTCAATTTAATTTTATAGTTTTTCATGAAATATTTTTTGTTTTATAGACTACAAAAAATTCCCAGTGTTTACAATATTTTAGATATTAGCAACTTTTAGTATGAAACTTTTGTTATTTCAAAAAATATATTAAATTTTTACCTTTTCATATTGGCAGCTATGTAAGCATGTCTGACAAATTATTGAAAGGAAAGTCTAAATGATTGTTAGAAGCAATAAATTAGTACTATGCAAGCATATCTGACAAATATTAAAATGAAAGTCCAAATGATTTTTGGAAGCAATAAATTAAGTACAATATTGTACATAAATTTTATACTCATAAGTAATGATAAAAAACTTCCAATTTGTAAGTTATTAACTAAAAATTTGAGACTTGTATTTGTTACTGCCAATATTTATAACCTTGCATTCTGTAGAATTCCTATTCATTATATAGAATATCAATTGGTAAAGCATGAAATGATTTATATTTCACACATTGCATATGCGTTTTATAGAATGGCTAATGATACACCAGCTATGTATTTCTCACAATGCCTAGGTATTCTATACAATGATTTGGCAAAGTAAACATTAATTTTTCATACTTAATCTGAAAGCATTTATTCTATAGAATAAATGCTTGCACCCTATTCAAGGATTAGGCAAAGTAAACAAACGCAAATTTCTTACTTTGCCTAAAAATAATTTATTCTATAGAATTCCTAGGCATTTTATGCAATTGGGTAATGTAATAATTCTCGTTTCATACTTTGCTTAAAAATGCTGGACATTCTTTAGAATTCCTGTGTTTCATACATTAATAGTAACATGTCATATCCTGTACAAACTATGAATTTTGAGAAACACATACCTATTTCAACAAATAATTTTACATATTCTTGAACTCCCTTTGTATAATTAGATTAAAAATTCCTTCCTGTTATAATAGTTAATTCAGGAAATTAACGGAGTATCCTATGTATTCAATTCCTTCCAATAACATTTTATTTAAGAATAATTTTAGCAATTTTATTAAATTAATATTATACACCCAATCCAAACCAGTTCGACGGATTTAATTATGTGTGCTTCCCTCTATAATTTTTATTTCATTCTGTGTGGTCACGCTCATACTTAAACGGTTTTTTCTATTAAAAAAAAACTCATAAATGGTTTTTGGACTACTTGCTCAAGTTGTATGTATATTTCTGTATATGTATAGCAAAACGAATTACTCTGACTTGTCAATAAAATAAAGTTTATTAATTTTCTATATTTTTTGTTCTTTATTTTAATTTTATAATGCATATATACCTTCCAATTGATTCTTAAAAGCAAACGAAGAAATATTTCTTATTAATGTAACAAAATTAGCTGTTTCAATTCTCCAAATAAGTATCCTTGTTAGTTTAGACACAAGATGGAAAATAAAATTACATTACAATAAATTAATCACTAAGGAGCAATAACGAAAAAACACAAGGGAAGTTTATAAGATCATTAAACATTTTTGAATTATCTGATTCTTAGTAAATAGTCTTTATATTCCATGAGAAATTTTAATGAGCATAGGAGCCGTAATGCCAACAATTTCAATAATGCATCTAATCAGTTTTAATTTCATTATTTTTTTTCAAAGCTATTTTTTATTACAATAAAAAATTTAAATAACATATACACCAGCTAGATTCCAGCACCATTAAATTTTTACCTGCAAATCTTATTTCGGAAGAAAAAAAATTCTTCTTTCGCATTTATTTTTAATGGACACTCGTTTAAATGTCAAGAAACCTGTGCCTTGCAAATTTGAAGGTTATGATATTTTTATCTTAACACTGAAAATATAAATCATTTATTTGTAAATATATTTGAAAGAGATTGGTCTCTCAAACAATTTTTTAAATAATATTAGTCTTTCAGAGAAATTCATAAATACATTTTAAATTAGTATTTTTTAAAAGATTTTGATTTTTAATAGGTGACAAAATTGGCAAATGTAAAGTGATTAAACTGTGCCAAAATTAAACAAATTTATAATTTTTTTTATGGTAAAAAAGAAAGCGTTCTGTTATCTATATATTTAAATGTGCGTTTTAATTTTACTCTTAATTAGAAGGTTTGAACTTATATTCTGAAAAATTGTAAAGACTGATTTTTTTTCCATACCTTGTATCTATTTTCAAAAAAAAATTTAAAATTTAATCAAAATTTTAACACCTAGTTTACTTTAACTAAACAAAAATAAAGGTTCTTTCTTTGGTATTAATGCTCTACAATATTGCAATGCAATTGGAGAAAAAAAACAGTGCAGGTGTTTCGTAAAGCATGTTTTTACAATTTTGCAGAATTGTCTAAGAATTCATAATTAACGCAAGCTTTTTTGTTGCATTTTATCTAAGCTTACACACAAAAATGGGTAATTTTTCCTATAAAGAAAACAAATTGAATGAGGCATGTTTTATAAGCATAAATTCAGTTGATCCTTTGCTTCTGGTTTAAAAAAATTTTGCTTGAAATTTGATCAAAATAGTTTTGTTTAACTTTAACACTCAAACAGAATATTTTATATTTTTAGGGGGGAAATATACTAATTCGTTAAGAAAAGGATAGTTGGTGGATGATGTAGTAATATTAGTTATTATTGTAAACACCAGAAAAAAACCTTTATTTTTAAATATCTAGTGAACATGAATTAAGTAAAGGCTGAAAATGGTTTTGCCTAACTCATACAAACTTTACGAATGAAAAAATAAAAATTTCTTATACAAATATTCAAGAAAAAATAACTGATTTTAACATGATTTTTTTTGGTTAAGTAAAATTGCAAGTAAAAAAAAAATTATGATTAATTATGCAACCACAGAACGACTTAAAACACAAATACAGTCAAACCCCACTATAGTGAACCTTCAAGGGACTGCTATTTTCGGTTCACTATAACCGGGAGTTCACTATATCCGTTACACAGGCAATTTAACTAATGGTTCCAAACTCCTCCCTTTTATTACACATTATTCAAATAAATGACTGAAAAATTTTATATACAGTACAGAACCCGTTATCCGGAAATCAGAAAACCGGAAAACCAAAAAACCGGAACGAAATTCGATACATTTTCTCGCAGTTTTTAATTTTTTTTTCCTTATAAGATTTTACGATTTTTCTTTCTTTTTTTAAAGATGTTTACCTTACCATCATTTTGGAAATAATCAAGAGTGTATTACTTCATCGTTTTTTCTTATTTTTTAAGATTATTTCCAAAAATTTTTTTTTTTTTTAGTTGGGTTTAGCAATAAAAAAAACGGCTTTTTGTAGCGATTCAGAAAACCGGAAAAATCAGTTATCCGGAATAGCGATGGCCCCGACCATTCCGGATAATCGATTCTCTACTGTAGTAACAAAAAATGTGTTATTTTTTATTACCTTGCGCACAAAATAAAATTAGTAATTCTTAGCTGATCAGCAATCCTCAACATCAGATATGGAAACACTTCCCGACTCTCAGATTATTTTTCCCGAATTTCTGTTATTCCGCTTTTTAAACTNCATCATCTGCCTGGGATGGAAACATCTGCTTGATTTGTTAAGGGATGAGAAAGTGAGAAAAAGGAAGCAAACAATGAAAAATGCTTATCGCTACATTCCCTTATATAGCTGGTTTTAAAAATCAGTATATGTATTTATTTTGAAGTAGAAATTTAAAATTATTACAAAAAAATTTAGAAAAAAAATCAGTCGAAAGACAGAAAAAAGTTCATTATATCCAACTTTATCACTTTTTCGGTTCACTATATCCAAATAAAATAACATTATTCATGTATAGCAAGGCAAGGGACCGAACATTTCGTTCACTATAGCGGGGTTTGACTGTTGAAAGAAACACTTAAATTAAGCTATTAAAATACTTATACTTTATTTTGTTTCAAATTGGAAGCAGATTGTGTTCACAATTTCCTGAGCTATCTGAAGTAGAAAACCACATTCCACCTACCGTGCATACAAAAGCGTGAAGAAAAAAATCAGTCGTGTGATATGGACCCTGAATATTTATGTACTAATAAAACTAAACTCAGTGGCGCGACAGCCCATAGAGGGGCCAAGGCCTACTGTGTCTATCTTAGTTTTCTTGGGCTCCTGGGTGCAGGAGCAGATGTTCCGGTCAGGTGCTCAGCCGAACAAGGAACCCCCAGTGCTTAGTTCCCAAGCTTGGTACTCATTTATCAACCCATTGAAAGGATGATTTATGTACTAATAGTGTGGAAAAAAAATCAGTAATGTGATATGGATCCTGAATATTTATGTACTAATAGTGTGAAAAAAAAAGTGTGACATGGACCCTGAATATTTATAGTGTGGAGAGAAAAAAAAAACAGTTGTGTGAGATTTTGACCCTCAATATTTATGTACTAATAGTAAGGAAAAAAAACCAGTTGTGCGATATGGACCCTGAATATTTTATGTACTAATAGTGTGAAAAAATATCAATCGAATGATATGGCAATGAATCATTATGTACTAAAAGTGAAAAAAAATCATTAAGTAATATGACCCTGAATCATGTATTACTAACAGTGTTAAAAAAAATCAGTCGCATGATAAGACCCTGAATCCATATGTGCTAATACTGTGAAGAAAAAATTTAGTCGTGATATAACCCTGAATAAATATGTAGTGACTAAAAAACTTTTATTAACTGAAAAATATTATATATATAAATTTTACTTAATATGAATGCATTACATAAATAATTGGCGCACTTCAATATAAATAATGAAATAAAAACACATATTCTTTTTAAATAAGTATAAGTTATTGATCATATAGAAAAAGTATTAAGCTCGAATTAAATTTTTATTCACATAAAGCAAAAGGCTATGAGTATTTAAATAAATTGTGAGAAACTTCAAGAAAATAAAAAAGCTAGTGTTTTCAAACAGTACTTATTTAATTATACAACTGATGAAATCTTTTTTATTAAGATATGCACATCAGACTAGTTTAATAATTGACACCCATATACATCGATTACTATACTTTCACAAATCCAGTTTTCTTTTTCTCTTTGGCAAATAAAGAAAAAAATAAGCTTTCTAATAAAGCCAAAAACATGTAAGACTAAGATTATGATATTAATATATCACTATAAAATTAAATATAACAATTGAACATTTAAAAATAAAGGGTCGAAAATACCCTTCCATATACAAAAATATCAATACATGGTAGAAAGAATTTTTGTAAACAGCTCCGCTACTGACCGTAAATGTAACTAGTTAAAACTACATTTTATTTGTAAAAAACAAGATTCTAAATTTTATTTAGAAATGTGTTCAGATATTAATCTAGATTTACATTAGACTAAAACCACAGATGTAAATGTAGTTGAGCAGTTGCAAAAACTAAAAATCAGATCAAAAAAAACTTTTTTTTAAATTTAATACATATGTAATTATAGTAAGAGCATCCCATATAGCACAACTAAACAAAAATACAAAACAATTATTTTATGCATAAATCGTGTATTTAAAATAAGCATTTGTCATTTTACATGTATTAAATATTTTTTTATAGTTTATTATTTTTATTCTAAACAAGGTCGGCATTTTGTCTGGAAGAAATATTTCTTAAAGGACAATGAAAGAAACTGGACAAAAAAGAAAGAAGCAAAAAAAAGGAACTAATAATAATATAGAACTAATATAAAATCCAAAATTGAAACATTTTTTTTATGTTTTAAACTACTTAATTTATTAATAACTGATTTTATAAATAAGAGAAATTTCAATGATGAATAACTGGTTCTCTTTCCCTAAATAACTGCAAATTTGAAAGATAGTTGTTAGTAAGATTTTACCACTAATGCCGAAAAAGAGCAGTATTTCATTACCGTACATCACTAAAATTCTAAATAACATTTTTTTCACTTATTTTGACCTAAATTATTACAAAAAAATATTTAATTAAAATTCTGTGTCAAAGGGTTAAGAAATTAAATTTTATTAGTACTTAAAAGTTTAACTTCCTTCGTATAAAAAATTTACTATTTTCATATTTATTTTTGTTTTATACATAATTTTAAAATCCTATATTATATTATTTAAGAGATGGTTGGAGTTAATATTTGATTGTACTTCAAAAGTTTGTTAATAAAATTAGGTTATACTATACTCATTTTTGTAAATTACTGAAGAACTACAGTTATTTTAATGTCTTGAGAAATTCCACCAACTTATTTTCCTTTCCAATTGCAGTTTTAAGTTTTCACTCATTTAAAAATGATATTTTAATTATAACTTGAAAATTATAACCGTTATTTAAACTCAAATGCTAAGCTAATTAAAAAAAATTTTTAATTCTTCATATTTCTAATTTAGAAAAAATTTATTATATTTGACTTGAAAGAAAAATACTTCTTCTGAGAGGGTTTTTCAATAGTTTTTTCCACTGTGGAAAAATTTTGCCATCCCCGATTAAAAACGACATACATTTTTTGTATCAAAATAAGGAACTCTGCTAACCTTCAATCCAAGAAACGGCTAGAAAACAAACCAATACTACATTTATCAATTATCTAAGTCATAGTTTCAGCAATTCTCAAATTTTACATTGTTATTTGAAAAAAAAAATTACCCCCCCCCCTCCCTGCATATTATTCAAAGAGAAAATAGTGCTTAACAGAATATTCAAGAAAATGTAGCATAACTTAAAATACTTGCAAATCCTTTGATATTTAAAATTTAAGAAAGAAACTGTAAAACTACAATGTCTATGGCCTTGTTCAGTATTAATATTTTTACGACATAAAAATGCAATATTTTCAATAGCACCTTTAAATTTAACAATAATTTGCAGCTCTTTGCATTAACAGTAGCTAAAACAACGAATAAATTGGACTGAAAAATTATTTAAAAAATATACAATGGAACTGTGAATACAATCAGAAAGTTTTAGAAGAAAAATTCATTACACACACAATTTATTGTTCTATTTACATCAATATACATTTAACACATTTTTTTTTTAAACTTCACAAAATAGAACATAAAAATAATACTAACATTTTAAGATAAAAAGTATATAAATCAAAGTGCCAATCAAATATATTGACAATTGATAATAAAAAGAGGAAAATACATTTCTTTAATAAATTGAAGTGTTTATAATATGATGGTTGTTATAAATGCCTTTTCGTAATATTTTTAAATAAAAAAAATTTACTTGAGCAAACTGACAAGAAAGTACAGTTGTAACATACATGGATAATAAGTAAAAGTTAAATCACATCCGATAAAATTATAAATTTAGGGATAAAATCATTATTTAAAAAAACTTACTTTTAAAATATATAGTCGAAAATTATAAAAAATTTAGTCGAAAATTTTAAAATATGATTTGAAAATTTAAAAACAACAGGAATGCAAAAAATACAATTAACGTCACATTCACTAGATAGTTATAACATTATATGAAGGAGAAAATGAACAAAACATTTTATGTTTAGATAAGAAAATGTTTTTAAAAATTTTAAAAACAAAAAATTCCTTCCTAAAAAAATAGTTAGAGAAGAACCCACAGTTCAGCATTACTTAAAATTCTGACATTTTTGAATTAATCAGATAGTAATTGGATTAAAATAATTTAAAATAAATTATTCAAAAAGATGAATTCAAATTTGTGAAACAACAAATCTTCCTCATCTGAGATTTGATTTCATTGTCCAAGAAAGACAAATTTATATTAAGTTCTCAGATTCAGTAAATTATATCATTCAAGTTCTTAAAATTCTGAAAATTAAAACTAAAGTAGAATTTTAGAATTATTAATTTATGATAAAATTAAAAAAAAAGGAACTCAGTCGTAACTTGGAAACGAAGTACGTCTGAGCATTTAAAAACAAGGCTTAACACCAAAAGATTTTAAAATTTCAACCAATCCCTATGTTAAAGTTGATTGGTGAACAATATATAAAATTTTAAAGCTCACAAATTAAAACTTGTTATTGAATAAAAACCTGATTTTTTATCTATTGATAGACTTAAGCTTATCAAACATAAATTTTAATTGATAAACTGGCAACAATATTGTAACAGGTAATCAACAGGAATGCATTAGGAATAAGAAGAAAAAAATGAAAATTGGTACTAAACTTAGCTTACAATACACGTAATTTTGATTCCAAGTGGAACCCTGCTCCACACAACTTCAATTACTAGAAAATTGATATTTAATTATCAGTTTCTTCTTTGCCAGTACCAGTATCATAAGTTGTTTGTGGTGTAGCATTTAGACTAGTTTTTTCAGATAGAGAAGAATCAGGTGGTGGCAAAGGAATGGCCGTTGATTTTTCAGATGAACTTGTTGGTTGGGCAGTTATAACTTTACTAGAGTTAGGGGCACTCTGAAAGAATGTATGGTGAAGATTTAAAATCAATATGTGTAGGAGACACAAAAATAAAAAGTAAATTAAACAATTAATTTTTCAAATAAATTTAAATACAAATAGAGTAGCAGAAGCTTTTGTACTGATTTGCGAAATCATGAAAAAATTCTAAAATATATTAGCAGAGCATGTTAAAATATTTGTATCCGGAATGGCAAGTTTCTTCCGCAGTAGAAAAAGCATTTCTTTCAATCCAAATGGAACTCTTTTTCAGAAAGAAATATCAAATACTAAAACAGTTTATACTTATAATCTCATAGCTGCCAACATAAATAGAAATAAATCCAGTAGATTTAACAAAATATAAATTTCATGATAATTGTTGCGTAATGTACTAAATATCTTACATATAGGGACTTTTAGGGATTTTTATAGATATCAAAATAGAAAAAGTGCAATATTTTCCGGTCATGATTGGTATTAAATATGCTTGAAATGTTGTGAATTATGTATACTGATAATTTTGTATAATAATAGGCATTTAATTCATAAGAAATAACTAAGATTTTTTTAAAATTAATTCAGAAAGGGAGTTCTGAATAAATATAAACTGAACATTTTAGAACAAAAAAAGTTTAAAACTGATTTCTTTAAATGAGGCTCGCTTCATTATATTTTAGTAATACTTATTTAAATATTCAAGTAAGCAATAATCTGTGCATAAGTTTCAATAGGGAATTTTTTAGGAAACTAACTCAATTTTAGGGAATTTTTTAAAATGTACAAACACCAGGAGAATTTTCCAATAATTAAATTTTTTGGCGAAAACAATCATCCAATAATGGATTGATAATAATGATAATTAACAGGAATGTGACTATGTCCGAAAATTAAAATAACAAAAAAGTTATTTTACAATAGCAAAAGCAATTTGAAATATTTGTCTTACCTAATTATGGTTTACTTATTAAGTCGAATGCAAATGTATTAATGATTAAAATAATAATTTTTTGTATAATATTTAAAAACAAAAACTTATTTATAACCAGAGTTAAAAAAATCAGTAATTAATTTTTCTTATGAAAGATCAATTTACATTCATAAAAAGAGTATGTTGAAATTAACTTAAAATTTTAAATAATTATATACATAAAGGGAAAAAAACAGTCGTTATTATATTTAAATACACGAGGGCAAACTTGTAATGATAATTTTTGAAGTTAAAGGACTACTTCTTTGTTTTTTAAATCAAACATTTCAAAATTATCAATATTAATAAAGATATTTTTCTGAATTACTTTCCAAAATTATATTAAAACACAAAATAAATATTGTTGATATTCCAGAAGTTTAATAATTAATTCCAAACGATAAAATAAGTTTCAGAAGTGGGGTCAGAGTCTAGTAAAAATTTAGCTTTAAATTATCAAAATATTTCAGAAAATTTGCAGTGGTTGCTATCTCAGCAAACATATAAATTAAGGTAGGTAGGTATTTTATTTACATCAAACTAGAGCTGCACAATGGGCTATTGGCAACAGTCTGGGAAACATCCCCAAGGATGATCCGAAGACATGCCCAGGGGTAGCAGCAAAGTTTTTAAAAATTTTAGGGTAATTTTAGGAACTTCTTTCAAAAAATTTTAGGGGTAATATATGATTTTGCAAGGATAAAAACAGATCACACGGTAGTTTATTACACAACAGAAGATTATTACAATTCATCCACACATATCATAAATAATTGCAAGCCATAAAATAAAGCTCTGAAATTTATTAAGTCAAGAATGAAATCTCTAAAGTGTAAAAATGAAATTTCAACTTTACATATTACCTATCAGAAATTAAGTGCATAATTCAGGAACAGGCAAAAGTGAGAATAAATCAAGAGAAAAAATAAATTAACACCAACTTGGATTTTTATTTAATTTTTACCTTCTTAATCAAAACTTTATTATTACCCTTTACCTTACTTTATTAAGAAAAACTATTGTGTGATATTATTAGATTTCAAATCAGCAATTTATATTAGAAGTTAGAGAAAAACAAATTAATCATGATCATTTTTCTAATATATTCTTGATATGATTTGTGAGATTCTTTTACTGCCCTCAATAGTGTTGTGGTGATCTTCAACACTCCTCCATAATTTCGAATGGTATCTTTGATTAGTCTAAG